CCTCTACATTTTTAATATTTTTTCGTCTAATTTTGACATACAAAGTGATATTTTTGCAATCTTAGCAAATGTCAGAATGATCTATTTTAAGCAACCAGTTGCTTAATGTTGACCATTACGAAACTTGTTACGGAAAATAAATTTTGTTACTAGTTGCGAAAAGAAAATAAATAAAAATAAATCAATTTTTGGTTTTAAAATCAATATACATTATTACTAAAAGTTAAAATCAAAGAAAGGCAGGTTGATATTTAAAAATAGAATCTGTTTAAACTTATAACCTAATAATATTGTTGTTTTGGTTCTTATTTTCTATTTGAAATTAGCGCAAAATAATTAAAAAACAATACACGATTAAATAACTTTATCAAGCAATATAAATATACTACAAATCGTCGAAAATAAATTAAAATTATTTTCTATTTGTCAGTAAAATAAATGAAGTTATACATATGCAACTAACAATAAAAGAAAGTCATTTTTTACCAACACACAATTCTATAAATAATCTAGTCATATATTAGAAAAAATATTGTGTGTAACACGTTACAAAATGCCGTTTTATGTAACTTGTTTATGTTGCGGGACCTCTCTCTGCTCGTTCCACAAATCTTCACTCGTTACATAAAATAAGGAATTGTATGCGTTTAAAATAACATCATGTTGCCATTTTCTGCTAATTTTTCTTTTTTTCTGAGATAAGATTTCTAATCTTTTTTAGATATTTAATACCTTGCCGTTAATCTCAGGAGTGTTTTTCCATGCTTCTTCTGGAATATTTTTGACAAAAAGTTCAACTTCTTGATCTAATTGTTCCTCGACTCTTAATGGACTCGAGAGATCAATTAGTTCTTCTAGGTTGATTTTGAAGCTTTTCCACTCCGTGCCTTCTTTGACAAGTTTAGGTAAACATTCTATTTTGATTACAGTATCACTCAATGAGAGAAGTATAGGAGAATGATCTAAGTTCACGTCCCATTATATCATTATATGCATATAATTTGAGGCGAGATAATCGATTATGAAAAAATCTATGAGATCGGGAATATTCGAATTTGTAGGTCAATATGTAGGCATTCCAGATGACATTGTTTGACTTTTCTGTTGATGGTATAATGATAATAGTTCTTTACCTTTGGTTGTTGTCAGTCTAGATCTCCGGTGAGTATGTTTTGCATTAAAGTATCCTCCTACTATGTATCTGTATTCTTGGCTATCCAGTAAGCCAAGGTATTGTTGCTTCTTTATAGCATGTCTTGGTGGGACATATAAAGCTGTGATCACAACTTCATAAGTTTTTGTTTTAATATTAACAGATGTGGCCTAAATTTCTAGTGTGTGATAGCCAATTCTCTGATAGGTTAAAGTGGATTCTAACTGCAGTTCCGCGTTTTGCGGCATTATCTGAATGGATTGTATGGTATACTTTATATCCTTTAAATTGATAAACGACTCTTTTGTGAAATGTGCCTTAGCAATTAGACAGATATCAATTTTTTCTAGTTTTAGAACTATTTGTTGAAGCTGCAGCAGTTCATTTGAGTTCCATTCCAAAATTCTAAGATAATTGGCCATTTTTAGCTTTAGGAATCGCTCCTTGAGCACGATGTTTCAAATTTTAAATACTCTCATCCATCTTGTTCACTCTATCTAAAATTCTTTGCAGCATTATATCAATATTTTTTTGTGTTTTGTTGAACTGGATATGTTTCCTTCAGCTACTTGGCTAACTATATGTTTTTTTTTTTTCATTATCTATTTAAGTTGTCATCTTGGTTTCTTTTCTAATAATATTTGATGTCTTAATTTTATTATTTTATATTGCGGAGGCAAGTTTGACTTCTTCGTTCGCTTGTTTTTTTATTCTTTAAAATTAGTTGGCTATAATGCATCCGCGGTAATTCACCGGGTGGCCTTCTCCACAATGGATACACTTTGGAGGAACATTTTTTGGTTTATCACACTCCACTGTTAAATGTTTCCCTGTAAATCTAATGCACTTTAGTTCCTTTGAACAATATATTTGTGAATGTCCATATCGATGGCTTAGGCGTAATAGGTCGTAACCCACAAAAAAATATGTTTGCTTTTTTACGCCATTTGATTCTAATAGTTACTACTGTCTCTACAATACATCATTAGCCTCATCACTATTAAAAAACCTCTTCATTCTATTATTTCAAAAGGTCGAATCTCCTGCGAATGTAAAGATAAAGGGCAAGATCTTATACCCAGAGTGCATTAAGGCTAACAAAGACTATTGTTTATAATTTGCAGCTTGATGTCAACAAATTGCCAGTTTGCAAGCGGATGTTTATGTCTACACTTGGAGTTGGTGAAAGGATGTTAAGAAACTGGCTCACTAAACCGGTGCAGCATGAAATGCCTTTGGCAAAACATCAAAAAAACAAGTCGATGATGCTAAGAGAATTCAATTTGCAAGGGAGGTCAATAACCGTTTTCCAAAATTACTATACCATTATTGCCGAAAATTTTCAACTAAGCTTTACCTTGAAAAAAGTAATAAGCCTTTATTGTTTATAAGGAGGAATGCACTAAAAGTAATGAACTGCTTTTGTCAATATGTTCGTTCAGTAAACTACTAGAAGAAAATAACAAACGATACATCTTTCTAAAAAATATCCGTGTTATGTTTGTTGTTCATATAAAGTCGGTCAGGTTGATGAAGAGTCAATCAAGAAACATGTGATTGATAAAAATAGAACCAGAGCCGAGAAAAAAAAGGACAAGGCTGACGCATTAGGAAAACATGTTATACCCTGACGATAGACATATAAGCGGTTCAGTTATGTCTCAAATTATTTGCTAGTAAATTATACTTTAAGAGCAAGCTTCAGTTCCATAACTTCACAATATATATTGTTGACACATAAATCTGACAACTACTGCTGGAATGAGAATGAAGAAGAGCTAGTTTAATCAGTGTTCACAAGTTGTATAATGAACTACTATCTAGAAAAGCATTATCTGGAAGAGCCAAGATCAATAAACATTTACTCCGATAACTGTGGATATCAAAACAAGAATCTGATATTGTCAAATGCGCTGTTGTCCTTTTTCAGTGCCATCCGATATAACGATATTTCATAAATACTTGGAGAATGATCACACTCAAATGGAGTGTGACTCTACTCATGCACTTATCGAACGGAAGCTAAAGAACAGAGAAATTCATATACTTAGTCAATACTCCTTAGCTTAAGCCTTTTCCTCTGGATGTCACACATGATTTTTTTATGAAATATAATAATGAAGATCTTTATACATAACAATCCATACGACTTGGACGAAACTTAAATGATGCTAACCGATGTTAAAACTTTTAAGTATTGTCCGGGTGGAAAAATATTCTACAAATTGAGCTACGATGATGAATATTACGTTGTCGTTCAAACACAAATAATTCAAGTAATTTGCCTTGTTGCCGATTTTACGACAACCGAATTAAAATTACAAAGAAAAAATTTAAGGATTTACGAGAACTGACTTCAGTATTATCTAAAGAAGTGAAGGATTTTTACTCAAGCTTACCGTATCAATCCGAAGACAAGTATCAAGGAAATAAGAAGGCTAAGCAAGAAACAGAATCAGATGAATTGGAAAACAACCAAGAAATAGCTATGTTAAAAGAAACTATTTCAAAAAGGAGAGTTACAAACCTAAAATCTACTACAAAATATAAAAATAAAGGAAATGAGAATGCTAAGCAAAAAAACAGAATCAAATGATTTAGAAAAGATACAAGAAATAGCAAACAATAAAGAAACTAGATATGCAAAGAAGAAACCTTCAAAACGAAAATCTGCAACCAGAATCGAAAAAACGTCAGTCAGGAAAAGAACGGACAATTCAAAAAGTGTACTTATGGAGATGCCTTGTAAAAGAAAACAAAAAAAGTAAATAAAATAAACCCCGCCAATATTTTTTTTTTGTTTTAATACAAGGAAAATATATATTCTTTAGTTTTAAGAAACACATTTACCTTAATTTCAGTGTTTTCAAAATACTTTGTCTGATTATATTTTAGTTGTAATTAACCTAATAAAATATCAAACATGTCTTGAATATTGTAACTGTGAAATATTTTGTGCCTACTTAAGTATTACTGTTGAGGGGATCTATTGCGCCTAAGCCATCGATATGCCTGACAAAATTTACAATGGGGAACTAGTTTAGTTTTTCTAATAGGCTTAATGTCAATTCTTATACCCATGATATCTTTTATACTAAATATTTTATTGACATCCTCATCATTACCTTACGATAGCATGAACATATTCAGCGGCTGTTTGGTTTTATATTTTAACTTTCTTGTTGTTCCAATTATTTCATGACCTCTTTTTTTCAGTTCAATATAGTTATTTGTTGAGGATCACAGTGGTGCAAGTTGGTAGCAATTACCTTAGTAGGTTTAAGGAGTATAATCAATAATTTTCATCTCTTAAGGCCTTTGTGAGAGCTTGAAAACATTCTTCGTCCGGAACATCTACCTTTATTATTGTTGTCATTAATGATTTTTATTTAAAAATTAATCATTTTGTTAGATATAACTTGATAGAGATTATTAAAGTTTTCAACCCCATCTTTAATTATTGGAGGCGGCTTTCTAGTATTTTCTTGATATCAAAATTATTTTTTAAATTTAAATTTTTCTAGTACTTTAACCTCTTTAAATACAAACCACATAACGATTTGTTATAAGTTTCAGTAGACTCTGATACGAACACACTCGAGTTGTGCAGTATACTTTTTCTACGATCTACTAATGAAAACTAAAAATTTTATAAATTACTAAAATAAAATAATTAACTTTAAAATAATTTATGACTTTTACTAATTTATATAATAAAATAAACTTGAAAAAAAAAATTAATTTAATTAGGCTTACACCCTAGAATTGAACCCGGTACTTTTGTATGAAAGCAAATAACCTAGTCACTGCTTCATCGCCACGCATATTATTTTAATTTTAATACTGGTAATTAAATTATTTCATAAAGTTTTAATAAAATGTTCATTTTTAAATAATATAGATGAAATAATAATAGAAATGCCATTATTTATCGATTCTACACAAGAACTGATTTTAAATATTTATTCTCGATAAACAAACAATAAATAAAAAATATAGTGACAATTAGTTTGACAGAATTGTCACCTATTACAAAAAAAAAAATAGTAAACGGGTGACGAAAATATGAATATGTTTTCATACTAGGTAGAATGGATATAAAATATATTCGTTTGTAGTGGGTGGGTAGATAACCTAATATCCATAAGTAGAAAAAATAATAACTCATGGTAGTTGAAACGGATCTATAATGTTTGTAATTTAAAAACAAAATAAAAATTTTACGGTAAAATTAGGGACATTCATATTACTATCTGCCTGAACAAAAACAGGCTACGTATTGTAACAAGGATCTTTACTGGGCATTGCCGACTCAAAGAACTCCTTAGTAAAGTGAGAGTAGTAGAAGATAGTGAGTGCAGATTCTGTAAGACGGAGGACTAAACATCCATTCACATTCTGACTGAATCCATCGGTACTATACCTCGGAGCATATCAAATAGAAGAGGGAGATTTGCATAACTTAAATCCACTCCAAATCCTACACTTCCTTAGGCAGATAGGGACTGGAAGGGTCGTTATAGGCATTGAAACATTTTTTTGCTGCATTAGCGACGGAAAAGGACACAATAGATATTTTAGGCCGCAGTGTATTAACACCGCATTCCCAACATAAGTTATCATATTACTAGGTAGTATGAAACAAAATATATGCTAATTTTTTTTTACTTATAATACATATACCTCTATATCTAAAAATAAACAAACATATTTTTACCATTACAACATTCTTATCCTTGATCTCTTTTTTAAAACAACCAACATACAAGACATCGCGATCTCTCTCCAATCTATTGTTTTCGACCACATTATTATACTGTTTTTTTTTAATAACGAATTAATTGGTGGTAATTATCCGTATTAAAAAAAACACGCAAAAGGTGTAACAAATGCAAATATTTTATGCGAACCAAGCAGAAGGTCGAGATTTTATGAAAGCGATCGAGAAGACAAAGGATTAAAAATGTTTTTCCGTAATTATAGTCGATAAATAATAAATCATTGAAACTGTTTTGATATTGTTGATTGTTAATGCTGCAATTGGCATTTGAGAAATCGTAATGTCAGTTTCTTTTCTTTCTTCGATTCGAATTTGAATAATATCTATCAACTGTGCTCCAATTTGACTCTACGACTCGTTGCGTAATATACAGGGTCTCCCACGGCAATTTTTCATTTTTTATTTACATTAAGACAAGTTTAAAAGAATGACAAACAAGTATTTATTGATACTGTAGAGTTAAGTGGATTCGGTCACAAATTTTGTTAAAACTAGGATATTTATTTATATGATTTAATTTCTTTTAAGATTTATGTTTATCTTTGGTTACAAGTACATATGAGGAGTAACTTTTTAAAACGCATTATGTCCATCCGGTTTCGGATTTATTTTCACTTATATTATACATATGTAAAGTCAGAATGAATCAAATATCCCTATGTAATTTCAATGTAAAATAGGGATGTTCACATCGAAATGTATTATGTCGGAAAATGGGTGGAAAATTTGGTAATTCAAAGATTTTTAATAAGAAGCGATTTTAAAGAATGACAACTTTATTTTTTTTATTCGAACATCAATTTCATCATTTTTTATTACTATAACAACATAGTATGTACAGGGCGGTAAGATTTTCTAACATTCTCCCCCCTTTGCGAATATTTATATTCCGCAACAAAATAATAATAATGATAATATTTACAAACTACACTAAAAATGAAACCGTGTCGGAATTTTTATTTCTCGACCTGCTCGACTGGTGTATGGTTTGGAATTTTCTTGTATTCCATCGCGGTTTTCTGCTGCTTCTTTTTGTGTTTTCTGTTCATCCACATTATTTTCTTGTTCTTCTTGTGGGACGGATAATTCTAATGGATAAATCCGCTGTAGTGGTCTTATGACTTCTCGATCAGCAAGTTTAACCCGAGCAACCCTGGGGATACCATCTTTTCCTATATGAATTTCAATAATTTTCCCCAAAGGCCAAAATATTCGTTTTAGGTTATCTATTTCGACTAAAACTATATCTCCTACTTTGATAGTAGAAGACTTCGTTTGAGCATTCTGAACCAACTCAGCCAGGTATTCCCTTTTGAAACGTGTTCTTAAATTCTCTCTGAGGGTTTGCAAATATTTATATCTCTTTACCATACCTTTTCTATCAATCTCATCTAAATCTGGTGTTTTAGTAATAGTAATATCTTGAAGAAAACTAGAGGGGGAAAGTGGAATTAACACATCGTCTTCGTTGGTAATATAGGTTAAAGGTCGTGCATTAATTAGCGCTTCGCAGTCGCATAGAAGTGTTATTAATTCTTCATAATTTAAACGAGCTCTTCCTAAATTTTTTCGCAATAGTTCTTTCACTAATCTGATTAGTCTCTCCCACCATCCTCCCCACCAAGGAGCTGCTGGTACATTAAATTTCCAACTAATTCTATATACACTGCTAAAACTTAAAATATGATTCCAATTCAGACATTTTAATCTATTATTGGTACCCACAAAATTTGTCCCGTTGTCTGAATATATAGTTGAGATTCTGCCTCTTCGTGCTATAAATCTTCTTAAAGCCATTAAAAAACAATCTGTAGATAATGATCTGACTAATTCTAAATGTATAGCACGATAAACACTGCATGTAAATAAAACTATCCAAACCTTTTCATTTTCTTTAATATACAAAGGCCCTGCAAGATCCACTCCTGTTACGTTAAAAGCTTTTCCAGTTTTAAATCTATCAATAGGGAGAGGTGCTGCTGGAACTTGGATAGGTTTAGATTTATGTCTTTTACAAATCACACATTTGGACAATACTTTCTTTAAAGTTTTCTTGCCTTTTAATATCCAGAACTTCTCTCTTAAAATTTGAAGTAAAGTTTGAACTCCAATATGTTTTAAAATTCTATGCTGTTCTTTGATCATTTCTTCGACAATTTCGTGATCAGAAGGTAATAAAATTGGATATCTAAAATTATATGGATCATCTCCAAGAAATAATTTCGTTTTTACTCTTAGAATGTTATTCTCGTCTCTGAAAACTTCTAAATTGTAAAATATTTTATTTGGAAAACTTTCTTCCTGAATAAATTTGATAATTTTTATTTCAGCGTCATCAACTTCGTCTGCAGTTAATTCGCCTGCTATTTTCTCTCTTGTAGAGACATTTCTGTAAAACCTATAGATCCACGCAACTGTTCGGATAATTTTTGTGTAACTGCTGAAGATACTGAATAGGTGGCTAAATTGATTTTCATTAGTTGTGACGAGAATAGAATCGTTCAAAATTGAATTGTTTAATTCCATCTGTTCAGCGTCTAGAGACTGACAAACAATATTAGTGTTCGGCCAAGTGTCTTTCGGCCCCTTCAACCAATCGGGTCCCTCCCACCACTTGCTCTCTACGAGAAATTTTGCATGACACCCTCTAGAAAGTAAGTCGGCAGGGTTTCGATCCCCTGGTACATGAAACCATTGATCTGACTCAGTAGCTAATCGAATTTCGCTAATTCTATTATTTACAAATACGCTCCAGTTTGATGTCCTTTTTATCCAAGTTAAGACTACTTTTGAGTCGCACCAGTAAAACGTTTTAA